AACACATTTCATTACACCAAATACACAAAATACTGTTCTTTTTAGCAACATCATATGACCCCTTTAACGTCTCCTCCATTGTTGTTTAGCCGTAGTACAAGCATAATGTGTGACAGTTGGTTGGAGTGGTATTTGCCCCGCCCCTCCTCCACTGTGATTGGACATCTGACTAAAATTTAGAATTTTAAATTTACAATAAACTGTATATATATAAAAATACACCTTGCTACATGTACTGCGTTAGGCTAACTGAGACTTGTCATTTGAACTTATATATTGTTGCTCTTTTGTTACTGCTTACTGCTTTTATTGTCCTCATTTGTAAATCGCGTTGGATAAAAGCGTCTGCTAAATGACTAAATGTAAAATGTAAAATGTGACAGTGATGAGCACTGCGTTTTATCCAAAGTTGAACATTCTTCAACTCTCTGCGCTGAGAAAAAAACGCCCGAGCGCTCAGCGTGAAAAAGATGCTCAGCGCTCGGCACGTTCCTGCCGTTTTAAAAAATGCGGCGCTCCCATTGAAAACAACTGAAAAAATACTCCAGCCTCGGGAAGAAGACTGGCCATTCAAAACTCTTCCTTTGTAAGCAGGGTACTAAAAACTGAACAAAATTCAAACAAGCACGTGTTGTTCTAAAAAATATCTTCCACTTTTGGACCATTTTGACATTTACAGACTTGGACAATTGTTTCCTCTGTTTGAATTCCACACCAGTCAGTGCCAGAGACAGAGGCCGCATTTACACTGTATGGTTCAAGTGACCCAATTCTTATTTTTTCCTCCCATGTGGCACAGATCGGATATGGCCCACGAACATGTAAGCAGGAAAAAAAGCACATGGACTCCGATATTCTCAGATCGTTTCAGGCCTCATTCTTATGTGGAAATAAATCTGATATGAATCGGATACGTGCAGTTGCATCTGCCATGTAAGTGGACAGATCGGATATTCCCCTGTTAATGCGAGTTGGATGTGAAATGGTTTTGAAACATCTCACGGTACAGATATATCTATTACAAATGAAACATCTCTAGTTGACTAGCAGAGTATTAATTTCGTTCGTTTGTGTTAAATAAGAGGCGATCTGGCACTGAAATGTGTTGCTTTTAAAATCATGCTTAGTGCTCGGACGAGTGCTTCAATCTATTGCTAACTGTTGTGGAGGCTCTCTATTAGGGGTGGGGGAAAAAATCAATACAGCATAGTATCGCGATATTTTCTGCGGCAATACTCTATCGATACACGGACGCCAAGTATCAATCTTTTATTATACTATTTGGTAGAATAACAAAATCAATTTCTTTACAGTCCACTAGATGGTGGTGTTGAGTTTTTTTCTAAAATCCTTTAATGCACGGCAAGCCGTTGATTATCCTGCTTATTCCATGGTCATTTGCCAGTATTGACAACTTAAAGCTGTTTATGATGTTAGCAGCACAATATTTAACCGGAAGGGTAAAAATGAAGGTTATTTTCATCAGTTACGGCTCGTTAGCTCTAGCTTTCTGCACACTTCAAATCAGATACAGAGATGAAATAGTGCGGTAAGACCACATTTATCTGAATGAATTATAGCATTTATTTAAATGAATTATCGATCAAGAGAGAGATGACAGTTGTGTGTGTGAATTACCTTCATCTGTGCGTCTCTCTTTACAAACTATGAAGCTGTTTAGTTACTTCGATTTTACCTCGTTGCTGAGGAAGATAATAAAGCAATCTAGTATCTATGTTATTTTATTAATAAAAGTCGCGGGACAGCACTGACAATAAGTTTGTGTGCGCGCAGTGCGATCTGCAATCTCCGACCTCTCTCCCTCTCACTGTGTTTATTAAATATCCATATTTCAAACATAATTAACACTTTTTTCTCACTTCCGCTGACTGTCGTACGTGGAAGCCGTCCAGGCGGATGACGTAGGACGTCGGCGTTGCGTGATTAGTGACGAGTGCGGAGAGAGAACAAAACAAAACGCTGGTCACGAATTAGAAGCACAAAACGAGGGTTTGCAAAGAAAAATGTCGGAGGATTTCGATATAAGCCAAGAGGAGACTGGTTTTCCTTTGCTAAAGTAAGGAAACTTTGCTTGCTTTGCTCCTGCATTTCTCAGAGGCGCACGCACAATGCCTACGTCCTACGTCATCCGTCTGCATGTCTTCCGTGTACCACAGTCAGCGGAAGTCAGAAAAAAGTGTTTATTACATTTGAAATATGGATATTTATCTTACAAAAATGCATGGATTCGCTACAGGAGGCGTTTATTCACCCCCCGGAGCCATGTGAGGGACGATTTATTATGGATGCGCGCACTTTATTTCACGTCTTCTGAACTAGGTCCATTAAATAATAATACAAGATACAATGTTGAATTTTAAAGCAACTGTATGTAGTTTTTTTTACTTTTAATGTCAATTTCAAAATCATTCTGATGGTTCACTGACCTACAATAACTTGAATGGCTTCTGTTTCTTTCCCACATCAGTTCTGGGAGTTAATTTGGTGAGCAGGTATGAACTTCTGCGAAAAGGGAAAATTGCTTTACGGCATCAACAAATGCACGTGTAATTATGACAGTGATATATTTACAACACTGAATTCCACTCACTTAACTGCAGGGGCCTCAAAAGTCACAAAAATACACAACATGTCATACAGTTGCTTTAATAATGCATTAGCAAATGTTAAAATTAACATTAAATTGCATTAGAATTAGTTTTCATTACTCACAAAAACGCATGGATTCGCTACAGGAGGCCTTTATTCACGCCCCAGAGCTGTTTTATTATGGATGCGCGCACTTTATTTGAAGTGTTTTGAAATGTTAAACAGAAACACCCGCCTACTGCAATGATAACACTTGGAATAGCCAGGACAATTTTTAATATAACTCTGATTGGATTCGTCTGAAAGAAGAAAGTCACATACACCTAGGATGCTTCGAGGGTCAGTAAAACACAGGCTAATTTTAATTTTTGGGTGAACTAACTCTTTAAGGTCTGTAAACCCCTCCCTTCCATAAGCCTACTCTCCTCTGATTGGTCAGCTGGCCAAGTCCGTTGTGATTGGTCTTTCCATATACAATGCATGTTGGAAAACGAAACGTCCATTACCATAATTAATTTTTTGCTCCGGAGGGTTACTTGTAAACAAAGATGCTATAAGTTTACAAAAATGACATCGATATTACCATATCAATTCAAGCTCGAATCCGAGGATGATTCCAATGCAGTCGCTCAACCGGAAACTCCATCGCAAGCTCGACTTGATCAGGACGTTTCTCAGTGGTAAGTTTAAACTTTGTATGTGGTACTTTACGTGATGTGACAGCAGTTTTATTGCATTCATTATTATTATTATTTACTTATTTGAGGTGCACGTGTGGGAACTGTGTTAGAATGCCCAGTGAGGCTGAAAACACAGCGTCTTCTCGACATGATGTAAACACACTAACTAGCGGAAATGTTTGTGGGCAGGTCAGACTGTTCGTATTTCACAGGCAGGCAGGGATTATGCAAATGTGAAGTATATAGGTAACAGGCAGAAGATTCGAAAATATAACGACTCGTTAAGACGGTTCAGAGTAGACTCTTTCTTTTGAGAGACAATATCTTTATTTATCATGCATTTTTTTGATTAACAACTTTGCAGACTGTTTACATTGAAGGATAGCTACATTACAAACTGCAAAAAATTTATTTTTCGAAAACCCATATGACCTGCTCTTTAAGAATTACATTTTACATTTCAGTATACGATAGTAATATATTTCTGACATAATTTCTTCAAGTTAAATTGAACCTTTATTTTTGGTGGGTTGTGAAGATCTTTGAGTTTAAGTGTGTATTTGACAGTGGTTTTTCTCAAATGAAACAGTGAAAAGCTAGTGAAGTGACTCTCAGAACAGTGCTGGAAATGAAGTTCATGTGTTCATGTCCTCATATATTGAGACATCAGATGGTGAAACACCACGAGCGTCATGTGTTTTCAGTTTGTGCAGTAGATGAAATTACACCATTCATTCACACAGAGACACGCAACTGTCACAATATGGACCTTGTTTCTGTTCTCCTGTTTTGTTCCTTGACCTAGTTTTCCTTAGTTCTCTTGATTAGTTCATTCTGCTCACCTGTGTTCTATAATTATCCTCATTTGGTCTGAGTATTTAAGTTGCTCCTTTTCAGTTCTTCCTGGCCGGTTATTGTTTTTTGTTATGTATGCTGCTTGCGTTTTCTTATGTGTTTTTGGATCTCCCTCTACTCCTGGGATTATAATTAAAGGATATTTCATTCTACTCCGTCTCCGTTCGCCTATCTCACACGAGAGCCATGACAGAATAACCGGCCTGCAAAAAGTGTTAGCGGCATGAGTCCCCGCGTTTATTTTTTCTGTTGTGTTTTTTCTTTTGTGGTCATGGACCATCCCGAATTCCTTCTCCTCCTGCTGGAGCAGGGGGAGCGTTCTCTCGAGGACAATACAAGACTCTACCTGGAAGTAGCTCATTACACCAGCTACCCGGACGATTGCATCTGCACGTTTGACAACGTGAGACTCAACACTGCTTGCAGAGCGCGGACGTCCGAAAATGGTCCTTGGGAGAATTTTGCCGCCTTTGTGGAGTGGGTACTGGTGAGAAATGGATCCCAGTTCACCGTCTGCCACACTGATGAGGAACTCACCAGCCCCACTCCGGACCCAGAGCCCATCCAAACACCACCCAGCTGCATGGAGCAACAACCAGAGCCCACCGCAGACAGTTGGGTGAGGGTGAGGGTGAGGCTGAGCTGCCACTGGACAGAGGAGGATTTGATAGACTTTTAGTTACCCAGTTTCCTTCCATCATCGTTTGAACTCTCTGCCTGTCCCGATATGGCCAAGGAGGCCGTTTATTAACTGTTCGTCTGCCCTGAACTGTCTGTATGTTCCGCCACGATCACAGAGGTCGTTCCCCTGTCCATAGCACTCCCGTTGCCGGGAGTTGCTATCTGGTGTGTGGGCAGCACACACCAT